GCAATGCAAATGTGTATTCACACCAAGAATTCCTCTCACAAAGAAAATGAATACACATGAATGCTAATTAATCGAATTTGGTTAATCGCACAAATAAACATGACTCAATAGGCAACATTTGATTATAAACATTCTTGATGTCATTACAGTCATTCTTGCATTCCTTGTGTAAATAAGGCTAACATGACTTGCAATATCCGATGATTGATGATGATGCAATTGAATTCCAGGGGGATATTGCTCTGCTCTGTAATTTATCAAGATTGCATCATTTCAAAGGCACACTGTGCAGATCCAACCTATTATTTGTAATGACCTCAACAAGTTGCAACTAGTTAGTTGTAATGTTGGGGAATTTTGCAATTCAGTTGGGGAAGTTTTTGTATGTCTTTGAAAAAAGTCTTCTGATGTGTCACCGGACTTTATTCTGGGAAGCTATCTTCACATTGTAAGGGATAGGTGCAAGCTTGTGATAGGATAATTTATTAAATTTGACACTTGTGATCATCACCAGATTTATTATTTGTAAGGTACTATATGAGACAGGGAATTTTCTTTTTGATCCTCCAGTCAATCTGGTCCAATGGAGGAGTAGACTTGTTTGTTTTTGTATTTACCCAGCAACTTGGGTAAATACACATATTTTTTTGAAATTGGATTCTTTAAAAAAAGAGGTTTCATTGCTTATTACCTGGATGATGCAATTGTTTGTTATTTCAATGATAACGTCAAAGTTATCATCATGAATATATAATGGATGCATGTATTCACATATATGAGGAAAGGATTAAATACCAACAAAAGGCTAAGTCATTTTTATAATTAATTATATTTGTTTTATTCCACTCTTGCAATGAATGGTGATATTAATCTGAAATCACTTGTTTATTTAGCATTAATGATTGAATCAATCACACAAATGGTAGTCAATTTAAATGCATTCATAATTTTAAATGTGCAAAAAATTTTTTAAAAGATGTTTTTTTTTGGTAAATGTAAAATCTATGAAATTTTTGCACATAATTTTTTTACAGCGACTAGAAGACTACAAACTGATTTGTGAATGAATTGGTCACTGTTGATTTAAGGCTCCAAATGAATCAATTGAAATTGAACTGATTCAATTTGAACTTACTTGGATATATAATTTGATTCAAACTGACTGATTTGAATATATATATAATTGATTTGAATCTATATAATGAATGATTTTATCTGATTCAAATTAGGGCTGGATAAATGACTTGATTCAAATTCACTATATACAGTATATACTTGCACCTTTTAAAATGCCCTTCCACCAATAATTAAGCCAAATATGGTACCTAATTGTATCTACAGACAAACTGCATCTAGTTGATGTAATTAAACCAGTACCACCAGAGAAAATCCTTTCAACTGGGATGCTAGATGCTGAAATAGCAAGATAATTCCTTGCCATTTTGCTAGATGAGGATATTCTAGTTTATAAATTATTAATGATTTAATTTTACCTTTATATTAGCTGGGAGACAAAAAACTTTACCTTGTGAAAACTTGAAGGTTTTTTAAAGTATTATTAATTTTACTTATAACTTAGCCAGTAACTTTTGAGAATTTTTTATATAAACTTTACCTAGACCACATCCAATATAATCCTGTTGCAGTGTTAAGTATGACAAGTAAACCTCAGTGTTAAAAATATTCCTGCTTGATAATCTGCAGTGTATTTCAACTTTTATTTATTGTAACCTTCTAAACTTTTCTTTAAAAAGGTTGCAATAACCACTTTTTTATTAAAATGATTTATTTGAAATGTTTACACATTAATATATTTTACAAGAAATAAAATCTGGCTAATCTGAAATGATCATAGTAAATTTGGGGGGGGGGGTGAATTTTGATAAATTAAAAAATAATCTTAATAGAGTTAACATCACCAACATTGTTAAAAATAGAATAGAGTATTAGGATAAGATGAGGTGTTAGGATAAGATATGGTAATAGGATAAGATGGAGTATTAGGATAAGATGAAATTTTTCTGTGTTTAAGTTGTTCATCACTGGGCATTTTTATGATTTCACTTGGGATTGTAATTTTTTTCTTTTGATATCTTACAATGAATGTTGCCATCACAATGAATGTTACTCCAACAACAATTGCAACTACTATTGCTACTATGTAAACAGTGTTTAATGGTATTGATATTTCTGATTGTGATGATGATGGTGGTGTTGATGTTGTTGATGTTGTTGATGTTGTTGATGTTGTTGTTGAAGTTGTTGAAGTTGTTGTTGTTATATTTGCCGTATAACTTGCTTTCCAACTAAAATCTTTAACATCAAGTATATAAGTGTTTGCACTAGATGAATTTGGTTTTGAAACATTATTTGTAATTCTTCCTATATATATGAATGTACTTGTTAATTAATTATTAAAGTTGAAAAAAAAGAAAATTTTTTAAAAATCTACCAAAACTTATTATCATTTGATCTCCGATTAAATTAGCCGTATGCAATCTTAGAGATGGAGCACGATTGACATGTGAAAATTCAGGTACAGACCATTGAAAAGGATTTGTAGTTGTACCCAAGACAATAATTTCAGGGAACGATGTAACGTATGAATCTCTACAACCACCATAAACAATTATCCTTCCATCATTTGCTATACAATATTTATTTTAGTATGATATTTTTTTCAAAAAAAAAATTAAAAAAAAATAAAAAATATGATTACAGAGTACAGCTGAATGACCAAATCGAGGTTGGATAGATGATGGACCATTTGCTGTCTAAAAATTTCATCAAGGTGTAATTTAGGCCAAATAGTAAATTTCACATTTTAATTGACAATATTTACCATAGTTGTCCAAGTTAAACTATTCGTATCATAAATTTTTATCTATAAAATAATTTAAAATTAAAAAAAACTCCGAAATTATATAATTAAAATTTCCATCTAAATACAATATATATATACCTTATAAATGTCAGCTTCATAAATATATTTACCTGTAGTATCGTTTGTCTCTCTTCCACCAATAATTACAACTCTATTATCAGGCAATAAGGTTGAAGTATGATAAAAAATTGGTAATGGTGGATTGATTGCAGAGACTAGACCCCAAGTCATATCTGCTGTATTCAATGTGTATACGTCGTTAAAAAAGTGTTCAGTAGTAGATCCAGTACGATTATCTGTTGCCCCGCCGAAAATATACAATTTTCCCTTGTCATCTACCACAATACTAGATGCCCAACGATTGATAGGAGTAATACCGGTTGTTATTGAAGGACTCCAACCTTTTTTATTTACATCATATTCATAAAGCAAATTGGTGTAATTCAAAGAATCAGAAGCCGGGTTGACCATAAATCCACCAAATAAGAATATTGTGGATTTGTTTTTTCCACCAACTGCACCTACACCCCAAGCAGTTCTTACAGGTATTTTGTCACTATCTACCCATGGTACATTTTTAGCATCAAAATCTTTGATCAAATCTACATAAAATAATGCATCTGTTGGAGCTTCTATTCCTCTACTATAACCTCCAAGAACATAAATTTTATTATCTACCACTACGCTAATAGTTGTAGAACGTGATATACTAGAATCTGAGAATACTTTAGTTAGTATAAATATCACGATAAATATTAAATGAAGTTTGATATTCCTGAAATTTAAACTCATTGATTGTTATTCTTTATCAATTAATACTATTTATTTTTGCTATATAATTTATTGCGAAGAGTTATAAATAATCAATTTTCATTTTTTTTTCTTGATATACAAAAAAAGCAATCCTTCGTGATTTCGATTTTTTTCAATTAAAGACCGATATAGGAATACAACACCACATTTGTTTGTTTGTTTGTTTGTTTGTTTGTTTGTTTATTATTATTATTTATTTTTATGTTATTATTTATGTTACAACTTTTTGAATACTTTGCAGGAAAATATATTGATAGAAGATAAAGATTCCTTTAATTAGAAATTAGAACAGGAATTTTAAAGAGAAGCTCTTTCTAGATAGAACTTTGAGTTATCTTTAATGCTGAGCATTGAGTAACATCGAAACTATTCTTCTTTTCTTATTTAGGATGCATTATTCTCATAATAAGAATGTGATAATTAGCTTCCTTTTCGCAGATACAGAAATCGTATAATGAAAACATACATACATATGATGAACTATCCTAAAATAATATAATTATTTTTCTTGACCAGTAGATTGATTTGGATTTGGATTTGGAAAGAAAGGATTAAAGTGAAATTGCTGAAAAGTTAGTCACGCATTTCGTCATGGACGCGACCTCACAATGGCATAATCAAACATTATTTGATGTAACGTATATAGATAGATCTAAATCATAATCAAATATCTACTGCCTTATACGAATCCATATCCTTTTGATGAACAACCAGATCATACGACGCCACGGTCTGAATATGGAGTGTTGAAATCAGATGCACCTAGTATTCCAACAAATACACAACTGAAAAAGGATAAGGAATCTAACCTGATTTGGCGTCGTAAACAAAAAAAGCACAAACAACGAAATCTTGCCCGCAAAGACGACGCATGCAATTTTGTGTCCTAAGATGTGAAATGAAAGATAATTCTGCTTTTTATGTTAGGTGGATTAATTAAAAAAAAAAAGGATAGTATTTTAATAAATGCTTGAAAAAATAAGGTTGCAAACTTGGTAGCAGAAACAAACTAAAGGTAAAAAAAATTTTTTTCTCAATATTCTTTCTTTGTTTCAAATAATTATTTATTTCCTTGATTAATAGGTTGCTAATAATAAACAATGTTGGCCTGAATTAATTACGATAATATTGATAGAAGTATTAGCAATAATAAAAATAAGAATAGCAAGTAAACTCATAATTACCAAATTACTCATGTCCAGGTATATATCCAACAAATTCACAACCACAAAAAGATAAGAATCGCAAAGACAACACGCTTTTATCATATGCCATTCGTGTCGCAAACTGTAGCAACAGTAAGATGTCTGAAAGTACCATAAGGTAATTAATTGATTATATTATTTATTTTAAAAACTCTTATCCGTCTCTTTTTCAATATCTCAATCTCTATCTCTATATAAATATATAAACATTTTAGTAAACACTTGTCAAATGAATTGGATGAAATGGTATATATAAACTGATTTTAATGTTTTATTTGAAATTACTTACTCCATCTTTCAATTTTTTTATCGTCATCCATTGATTTATTATTTAATTATTTTAATAGAAAGCAGCCAGATATCCCATAAATCATGATGAAAGAAACTTTATAAAAGATTGTCAAGAGTAAGTAAAAGAAAAAGATATATTTTTTTTCCTCGTCTTTAATATAATACAAATCATTAATTTAGATACAAATAAAAAAAAATTTACCTTGATGTTTTAGAAAATCTCTTGGCATCACGCATTTAAGTGCTGGTCATATGAAAATTACTGCAAATAGTGCATTGGAAATTTTAAGAAGACATGGGATTAACAGAGTATTATGTGAAGTATTTATGGAACCCGATGACACGTATTCTGAAAGAGAAAACGCATAAAAAAAAAAGGTTGCTGATGAATAATTTTTGTGTAAAAAAAAAAAACCAATTGATCTTAAATTTTACCTCAAATAAAAAATATAACATATATAACACATGACACATGGGTATACTGCAACAAAGTGAAACGAAATCATGAAATTTGCATAGTATCATTATGATGTTTTCCTAATTTTTATATGGAGCATGCAACAAAACTTCCACAAAGTAGTTTTGCTCAACGCTACAATTATACCATCATATCTTATCTTTATCACTATTGTTATCGATTTTTTTAATCATTCAACATTCTCTGTACAAGGTAATTGGTCCAAAAATGTAAATTATAAATTATTTTTTTGTTGCTAAGGCTCAATTTAATTCATTTGTTGTATTTTTTACTTGATGAATAAGGTCATCATTATACATAATTTAATTTTTGGATCTAAATTTTTTTTTAATATAAAGAATGAAACATGCAACTTTATTTAAATGTTTATTTTTTATTTGAAAAGTTCTTTAGCTAATTACTAATTGCAGTAATTTTCACTCAAGTCTTAATTTATAAAAAAAATCATGAAATAGAGAAATCTTTTTATTACCAGGGTAAAAATTTAAGTGAAAATTACTTTTAATTCTCATTTTTTTACATTTAAAATACTTTCTATTTGTGATATTTAGAACATTCTATATAACCAAAAAAAAACTTACCACGGAAGAAATAATTTTCAATTGATAACATCTACAGTATAACGTGAGTAGGCAAGCAAAATATTTGTATTTACTTTTAATTGTCACTATGACTTCATTATTACTTATGATATTTTTTTTATTGCATACTTGAAAACGATCTTAATAAATATTAAATTGCTTCCTTTTCCTTTTCTTTTAGATCATCATCATCTTTATCTTGTTACTTTTTTAAAAAAATTTTGCCTTTCAACGTTTTTCTTCCCAAAGATTTAAATCCAATCATTATCCCTATTAATATACCATCTTTATCATTATTATTAAATTACATTGATCTTAAAAATTTTTCCATTAAATTCGCGTTTATTATAATTTTTGACTATTTTTAAAACTAGCCAAAACAAAGGACCCTCACACACATTTAGTTATCTGTTATTTTATTTAGTGCAGGCTGTGTATAACTTCATAGATTAAAACATTATTTTTATTATATCATACTAATAAATAATAATACCTCCAAAGAAGATAAGAAAACAACAATTCATAATAATAATAAAACTAAAAAAAAATGTCATTTGAAAGTTTATTATTGTCATTATCATCAGACAGAAAGATTTTGTGTACAGAACTTATTCTGAATTAATTGATAATTCTTCATCAAACACATCTATCAGAGAGATCCAAAAGGCTGCATTTTTATCACTTGTAGCTGAAAATGATAAGCTTTTAAAGAATGAAAAGGAATATTGTAAAGAAATATTTGTTTATGTATTCGAATTAGATAATACAATTCATGAATGGGGTGAAGTAAAAGAATGTAACAAGTGCAAATTATGCAGATATTCAGTCAGATTTTGTGAAAACTGTATTTGTTTACATTTACAGAAGCTTTTTGATACATGGTCATCAGGAAATATCATCATTGATAATTTTATTCAAGAATGTCAAAAGCTCTCATCTCTTCCTACGCAAATTATTGAATGGATTCTATTTGATCAATTCGAAGAAGTGGAATATTTAACTAAAGGAGGTTTTGGTAGTATTTATGTTGCCACATGGAAAAAAGGCATATATTTGACTATGATGAAAACAAAAAGAATTTAATCATTATGGATCTCATGATGTAGCATTAAAAACTACTAAATAATTCAAATGAATTGGGGAAAAATTTTTTTGAAGAGGTCAGTAGTAATTATTTTAAATTAAAAAAAAATATATTAATTGATTTTCATATAATCTCAAGCATTAAAATTAAATTTGGAGGTATTGTTTCCTGTTATGGTATAACTAAATTCCCAGAAAATAGCAACTATGCAATGATTCTAAACTATCTTCCAGAAGGAAATTTAAGAAATTATTTGCAAAAAAATCATTCAAATTTAACTTTAAAGATAAAATTACAATATTTAAATATTTATGTGACTCATTAAATGATATACATCAAAAAGATTTAATACATTGTGATTTACACAATGGTAATATTCTAGTTATGGTTGTTTGCTGATACCTCTTAACGACTGTCGAAACTCTGTCGAAACTCTAATGAACAATTAGTATATACCTTGTCAAAACTCTGCCGAAACTCTAATAAACAATTAATGTGTACCTGTCGAAACTCAGTCGATTGATTTCTGGACGAGTTTCGCCCACAACCTTAATTCTAGTACAAGATATGGCTGTTATATCACAGTTTAGGATTATGTGGGCCAGTTGATGATGAATCATCAAACAAAATATATGGAATTATATCATATATTGCACCTGAAGTTCTTCGAAAAACAAGCAAAATACAAAATAATCAGATGTATATAGCATTGGAATGTTGATGTGGAAGATATCCACCTTTTGATAATAAAGCACATGACCATCATTTAATTATTGAAATTTGTAAGATTTACTACCAATTTATCAAATATGCCAAAAGAATACGCAAAAATGATGAAAAAGTGTTGGGATGTTGACCCATCTAAAAGACCAACTAAATTCCCTAACGAGTTCAGGTTTATATCAAATTAATAAGAAAATTTTGTGATTTACGTAATAATAAGTTTTATTTGCCTAAATTTTATTCCAAAATATTTGTCCAAATTTTTATTCTCATATGTAACGGTGTTATTTAAAGAAAATAGATCAGGAACTTGAAGAGTATGACCTAGGTTAATAAGACTTGGAAGTTTGGAAATTGGAATATCTTCATTTGTCATCTAGTAAATCATTTCATTATATCAATTATATGAATTATATTTATTTGTCACCTTTTCCTGCAAATTGATTTTTTTCTCTGTCATATTTTAACCATTTATATATTAATATGTTTAACTATACATACCGGGAACTTCTGTTTTTTTTTTAAATGCATTTTTTATTTACATTTTAACACGATTTATACTTAATTCACTATTTTTTCTTTTTTTATTCGATACTTTTGAAGTATCATCATTTGAACCTGAATTGTCAAATCATCTGAACCTTCTATATCTGATTCATAATATTTGTTTCACTTATAAACGTCTCGTCACAATTTCAGTAGTCAAATTATCTAAATTCTTGTGCTATAACTACTTATTTATAATTTATTTTTTGAATAAAGAAAATAAAATACACATAATTTAATAGAAGTCTTTTTGAAATAGGGCTTAAATTGAGTCAATATTTTTATTTTGGAAATTCAAAAGATGATTGTTCCTTTCTAAATATTAAAATTTTTTTTATGCGGATACAAGAAAAAAAGGAAAAATATCCTGCAACTTTTTTTTTCCGAGTTAAAAATCCAGATTTTTAAATTACTATTTTTAGCCCTGTTTCTCATAGTTAAATAAAACAATGAACATTAGAATCAATGTTTTTCAATGATTTATGTCTATCAATAACAATCAAAAAATTAAAAAAAAAAGATCTACGATATAAATAATGAATGTTTACTCACAATGAATAATTTCATCTGTAATAAAAATTCTCATTTTTGAACAAATTCTTTAATTTTGCAAATCTATGTTGTCATCAATGAGGTTCATTAGTTACACGTATCAAAATCAGATGATCCAGATGATCAACATATGATTTTTATATGGTGGCAGGCAGATTACGGTGATAATCAATTAATTGCATTCAGCTTCAAAAATACTGAAAAGTTATCTGATGAGTTTTATAGTCATGGCTCAAAGCTTCAAAACTTATTATTTATTATTGGCTGTTTTTCTTAAACTAGAAATTGGCCGGCCTTAGTATTTTGAAATTGAGTTCTTTACTATTATAATGAAAAAGATTAACGACCAAATTGATCATGCAATTCAAAATATTGTAACATTTAAAAAAAAAAATCGAGACATTTTTTTTTACATGAATTGACTCCTTTTTAAAGCTGAATTGAATGAAGGCGGTTTTTTAAAATCCAACATGTAGATCACATAATATTTCAAATTTGTTGAGTATAGATGAAAACTATATAGAAGGTTACATACAAAAATCACGGTTTGATATAGATTGCAAATCTAGTGATTTTTCACTAACATTGCATTTTCTAATACAGTCAAAACTCTCTATATCGAACCCCTTGGACCGAGAAATTCATTCGGTATTAGTATAGAGAACGTTCGTTATAGAGAAAGTGTCAATCATTGTCACATTATCATCAATTATGAATAATAATTTATTGTTGCAACCACATATGATTACATGTTGCTAACATGTATATGGAATATTATTAGGAAACAATAGGACCGGAAAAACTCTATTGAATGTCACCGCCAACACTATGATTCGAAAGGTACTTTAAAATTTAAAAATGACACCGCCCACCTTATATTCGCATTAATAAGGAAAAAACAAGGTCTCCGGTTACACTATAATTCGCAAAGAAAAATGTCACAGGTCACGCTGATTCGCGAACATAGGCTATGAAAAAAGGTTACCGGTTACACTATAATTCGCAATATTAGTGTTTGTACGTTACACTTGTGATAGATCTTGTTAAAAATGGAAATTTCCTTACGATCTTCTTGCTAACTTTCATGAATTTATTAGTGCTAAACAAGTTATTTGCAAGTGTGGTAAAAATATTTCTTTAGTTTATATGTAATATAATGACTTATTTAATTAATTTTTTTTTTTAGTAACTAATCTTTGGCTTTGCAGATATTTCTGATATTCATCCATTATGCAAGAATGGATTTTTATTAGTATTTTCTAATAATATATTGTGTTTGGGAAAAGTTATTGCATTATATGAAAATCGTGGACAAAGACATGCATGGGTTGAAAAGCCTGCAGGACTTTTGGGTAATTTTATCATATATTTCTATTAAAGTTTATATTCCAGTATTTCAAACGAT